ATGTACGATTCTTTGTTTCCGGGATGCACAACAGTGTAAAGATAAGTGATAGAAAACAAGTTCCTGCAAAGAAAAACCCAGCCTTGGCTCCCCATGCCCAAGCACCTGGGTTTAGCATGTAAGGTGTGATGACATTGCTCACAATATTGAGCATATTGTAACTCATGCGGGCAAGCACAACCGTCTTACTTCGCAGCTCAGATGCTGGTACGTCTGACACGAGAGCATAACAGATAGGACCGACAGTGATGTCGTAAACCACTGTGTAGAGAATCAACATGCTTCCAACAGTCCAGCCAAGTGTAGGTGTAGTGGGTCTTGTACCTAGTCCACCCATGACTAAAAGACAAACATCTAGACCAACTAGACCCCAGATGTACATAGTTCGTCGGCCGAAGTACGGAAGCATGAGCCAAGAAATCCACACTCCAACGATACCGAGAGCATACTGGATGAGACTCATGTTGAAGGCTTGAGTAGTAGGGAGACCGGCTTGGTGATAAAAGTAGGTTGCATACGTTCGCAGGCCGGTACCAGACAAGATCTGAATTCCCCAGGTACAGCATGCAATGATCGTTCGTCGCCGGTTAACACCACGGAAACAATCAGGATAGTGTTTTCCAGTCCCGGCCTCTCGCTCTTGTGCAACAGTCACTTCCATAAGTTTGACCATGTTATCGAGTGCTTCGGCCGAAGTGGTTCGAGAGTCGACAAGGCGACGGAGGTTAGCTTTGGCATCATCGATACGATCTTTACGAACGCACCACCAAGGCGACTCTGGTGCAAATGATATCGCAATGATTAGAGGGACAGGCCAAATCCATTGGATGGCAAAGGGAATGCGGTAAGCCCATTGATCGGATCTGGTGGCCATCGCTCGCAGGACCCCGGCAGATAGAAACTGTCCAATGACCTATTGTTGATTCAGAGTCAGCGCCATAAAACAGCAAAATAGAACAAGAGGGCATACCCAGCATAAATTGACATAAGTCGTAAGATAACCTCGGAGATGAACGGGGCAGACCTCAGCTGCATAAGCCGTGGTCAGAGTTTGGAAAACACCCCACGGAATGCCCTGGAAGATCTGCCCAACCAGTAAGACCTGAATGCTGGGGGCAAAGAATGGTATAAAGATGGCCAAAGTCATGAGAAATAGGGATAAGAGCATTGCCTTCTTGAAGCCCAGACGTTCAGACATATGTCCGTTCAGGTAGAGGCCGATGATGGATCCAACAGAGGCGCCGTTGGACAAACCAGCTTGCCAGGCAGCAGGTATTTCATATTTTCCGTTGGCGAGTTGTTTGCCATATCTCTTCGTAAAGGCTGGCCGGGCGTTGAGAGATCCGATGAGTTTCATATCGTATCCTTCCATGATAATTGCAGTCGAGAGAAGGACGGACCAAGCGACAGCGGCTCGATGCTGCTTGATAGACTTGAGAAACGCGGTATCGCGTTCTTCTTCAGCCGCGCGCTCAGCTTGATGAAGATCATCAGCATTTGTAGCTTTTGCTCCTTCACAATGATCAACTCCCTCTTTGAGGTCTGCATCATTTGCAGCATGGAAAGCCATTGTAGTTGGAGATATACAGAGAGATAATTATGCTGGGATGGGGTGAAGTGAGTTAGAAATGAATCAGCCTGTGGACTCAAGTATTCCAAGAGATATCTCAACTAGTTTATATAAGAGCATTATTACTACCCCAGGAATAATAAGAAACCCGTTTAATGACAGGGAGTTGTTTGCGGAAATTCCCCATGGGGATCTGGGAAAATTTTAAGCTTGAGTATACTAAGCCATTGTTGGAATGTCAGCCGAGCTAGCCGAGCACCCTGTGCACGATTGGCTGTGAGTCGTGTTAGAATCAAGCTACTTAGCGATATAAGCGAGCAGCCACTGAATGCCTGGGAAATGCCCTCACGGGACGTATCGCTTCCTTCGGATCGAGGCCCGACGGGTCGATCAACCACTAGACAAGCTCGCTTCACTCGGGTATATAGTCGAGGTCATGTGCTAGTGAAGCCACTTGAACACATAAAATGTAACTAGTTATCTAGACAAACTTCAGATCCCTTCAGACAACTAAGCCAAGAACTTGATAGATCAAAAGCCTCACCAAAGCCATTCGTATATCGTTGCATTATCACCCATAAATCATCACTGTGACTAAAAAGATCTACCACTATGAACCACTTTGGTGGAAGCATGGCGTTGTCTACCAAATCTACCCAGCATCTTTCAAAGACTCGAATGGTGACGGTATCGGCGACATCCCCGGCGTCATCTCCAAGTTAGACTACCTGAAAGACCTTGGCATAGACATCATCTGGATCTCGCCCCATTATAAAAGCCCCCAGGTCGATATGGGGTACGATATTTCCGACTTCCAAGACATCCATGAACCATACGGTACACTTGAAGACTGCCAGCAACTCATCAGAGAAATCCACGACAGAGGAATGAGGGTCATCTTTGACTTGGTCATCAACCATACCTCCGATCAGCACCCTTGGTTTATTGAATCGAAATCTTCTGCCTCGAGCCCAAAGCGAGATCGGTACTTTTGGAGACAGCCCAAGATTGACAGCAACGGAAATAAGTGTAGGCCGAACAACTGGAGAAGCCAGTTTACTAAGCCGGCTTGGACGTTAACCGTCAACAAATTCTCTAAGGTTCCAGGTCTACCGGACGCACCAGTCGCCGAACCAGATGAAGAGACTCAGATAGCTACATGCCACTATGCAAACGGTCCCCGCATCCACGAATATCTCCGCGAAATGAAGGAGGTCATGAAGCCATACGATGTCATGACTGTAGGCGAGCTGCCAAACACGCCTGATCTTGAGGATGTGTTGAAGTATATCTCACCTGGTTCGCAACCTGGATCTCAGGAAATCGACATGGTCTTCAACTTTGACACGGTAAATCTTGGCCAGACGCCTGGGAATCGATTCCTGCCTTTGCCTTTTGACAAGAACGACTTTAAGCGATGCCTGACAAAATGGCAGAAGCTTCCAGAAACAACGGGGTCATGGACGACCGTCTTTTTGGAGAATCACGACCAGGGAAGATCAGTATCGCGATTTGCATCAGATCTTCCAGAGTACAGAGAACAGGCGGCCAAGATGCTAGCAACTGTTCTAGCTACCATGACCGGAACACTGTTCATTTACCAAGGACAGGAGATTGGCATGATTAATGCCCCTGACTCTTGGGGACGGATGAGTATAAGTGCGTCAGGTCTGTCAACTACGTCCAGGACATTCGAGATCGTACGAACAATGATCCTGCGGCGGTAGAAGAGGCTAGGAGAAATCTCCAGCGTGTAGCGAGAGATCATGCTAGAGTTCCGATGCAATAGGATAATACAGCAAATGCAGGCTTTACAGGCAGTGCTGCAGTACCATAGATGCCAGTCCTGGATAGCTATCCAGATATTAATGTTGCTAATCAGCTTAGGGATAAGGGCAGTGTTTTAGAGTTCTGGCGAGGAATGCTGGAGGTTCGAAAGAAATACTCTTCGCTGTTCGTTTATAGCACATTCTCTCTCATTGATAAGCATAATGATTTGATGGCTTTCATAAAGACAGACTCCAGAACTGGTATGAGAGCTTTGACAGTCGCAAACTTGTCACACTCGGACCTTGCTTTGCCGAACTTTGAAGGTTTGGAACTTGGATCAACGTCTCTGCTTGTAAGGAGCTCTAATGAGCCTGCTACTACGCACCAGAAGTCGTATCTCGGACCCTACGAAGCAAGGGTCTATTTACTCGAGTAGCAGAAAGTATGTAGAGTAACAATTTTATTTTTCAAGGCAGTTAAGGGAAGAAATTCAATCGTTCAGTCTATCGTTCTATATATACGGTGGCACAGTACCGAACGTTTCCAGACATAGATATCGTGAATCAACCCTCTCGCTCTTTTTAAGCTGTTCCCTGCCTACACCAGATGCGAGATCCGTGATCATTTTGGAATTCCACCATGGATCCTGTATACCTTGCAATGTGGCCAATGCCCACTCTAAATCATCCTCCTCAGTAGTTTCGACAGCATACATAAACAGCGGCCAAATAAAAGCTGGATGTGTAATTCGCGCACTGCCCAACTTCTCAACTCCTTGGCGGATTGCTGCTCTTGCATTGAGAATAGAAGGAGAAAGCGGTTGAGATCGCCCGTAGGCTCGTGCGTGGTAGATAATTTCAGCATGGTAGCATATGCGACACAGACAAGCCACGAGATTGAGCTCAGAGGGCAGTGTAGCATCTTGCCCATGTGCGAAACCGCCTTCATCACTTAGTGCATCAATTAAAAGAGGTCGGCCTTCCCATAAGCATTGCAGCTGCTTCTCGAGGGTCTTTGATATCGTGTCTACGGCCGTCTCGTCCTTCAAAGTACCGCGCGATCGATGATGCCGATTCAGACACGAAACCTGAAGACTAATGTCCTGAAGCTCGAAGTAAAAGTGAAACAATGACTGCTGAATTGAATCGTTTACAGCCTCTTCAATAGTAGCATGGCCGACTCGTAAACACGTCAGAGAAGAGATGTGATGGCTCTTCTGAAGAAGGGTAATGACTTTTGGGCTGAGTATCCCACGCCCTCCAAGATGCATGGCCTTGCTATGTAACAGATACAGCCACGATATTATTCTTCTTGCCAGAGAAGACCAGGTCTGAGGCTCGGCGCACTCTTCAAGACGCTTTATCAACATACCCTCCTGCTTCAGAAGACTTGGAACAGTTTCTTGTTGAACCACGACTTCAAAACATGCCAACAGGAAACCTGTAATGAGCACCAGCTCAAGGTCGCATGTAAGATCGCCTTGAAGAGATATATAGAGGGTCTTGGCGGCGAAATATCTCGACAAACCGGGTGATATGTCGCCGTCGTCAAGAAGGCTCTGGTACGCTGTTTCGATGGCTTGAATAGCGGCAGATACAGCCGGAGTACTCGTTGCCAAGTGGCATATATAGCCTTTTGCAATATTCCAATTCATCGAGTCCCAGGGCGTAATGAATGGCAGGTTCACGCTCGATTTGAAGAAGGAGTAGGTTGAGCTAGGATCTGGAAATATGTCGCTCGGTAGAGAAACTTGCCCTGGACTTGTTTGCAGTAAAAGGTCTTGTACAACTTGTCCGAATGTCGCTGACGGGAACGGGTCACCCCATTCGCCCCATGAAAAGTCCAGATAACCCACGTCGTTCTCAATCGGATCACCAGAAGCCTGCTGGATCGAGGAGATATTAGATTCACCGCCCTCCTCCAGGTGGTCACCAGAACTGCCAGGGTCGCTCAGTACTCGCTGGTTCATTCCATCATCTCTGTCTGTAGATTGCTGTTTGTTAGTATAATTGACGTACTGTGGTTGCTGGTACACACACGTTTTATTTACGCGCTTGCAATTGTCGCAGAAGGGCTTGGATTCATCGCATTTGACTTTTCGAGCCCTGCAAGTCATGCAGCCTGTACGCGCGCGCGTTTTGCGAAATGAAGGCATCAATGCCAGTTGAGTTTGGAAAAAAGCTCAATCACCTGATGTAAATACTAAGTCAAGTTCAGTGGAACGAGTTGGTAATGTTGGGTTGTTTTATTAGGACGGACTAGACTAACGCGCTAAATATAACACGTGCTTACGCTGAACTGTATGATAGTAAGAGCCAATTAATAGCAACAGATGGTTCTTCAACTCATTGAAAAAATAGCTGACTTCGGCCCAAGACCTGTGTAGTATATATATATATACTTGTTGTCGTGCATATTTTTCATGATCTGAATGCTCCAGCCACGAGGTTGTCGGTTGCTCTACTGCTTCTCGGCATCGTGACGTCAAGATATACCCTATATCTCTTAGTAAACAAGCATTTTTCAGCATATTAGCTACGCAGCTTTATTATGGCGTTACTACATGTTCACAAAGACTATGATGACCAGACTCCTGTTTCCCATCTTGATAAAGTCTGCTACGCTATATGTCGGTGTTGAAGATTTGATGTCTCAATCGACTATTTTCATGGATGTTACCATGTATTTGGACCCTAAGATATGGGAAACATGCAATGTCTGTTATCACGCTGCATGGATCAAAGCCAACCACCAAACCTCACCGCAATGACAGTGGCAGACCGCTACACTTTCATAGCGAACAATAGCAATCCCTCGACTACGCCCCGTAAATGCGAAATTAGTGGCTTCGTAAACATGGCCGATGAAGCCCCCATCACCCGCACGTATTATCCAAGGAAACTCATCTGACCAATCGCCCCACGAGAATAACGCAGCGCAAAACTGACCGAACTTGTCGCACAGCGCTTCTCGAACGGAGCAAGCACCTGTGACAGGCCGCCAATGCCGACGTGGATCTCGCTCGTGGCGTGGAGACTTGCCTCCGGTGTTGCGCAATGCAAATAAGACCTGCTGTATTATTCTTATGGTGCAATAAGACAAGTGGTATCTGTACGACACGTGAAGCGAGCGACGCCCAACCCTGAGTAACCTCGGTCACAAGCCACAGGCCACAAGGAGATTGATGGAGGACAACAAGGGCATGTATACTTGCTTATGCCCCTGAGGGTTGTCCGTGTGTTTCCAGCTCCCTCCCTCCGCTTCCTCTGCTGTGTATGCTGCCTCGAATATGATTCTTGCAACATGTCTTGTTCATACAAGGGCAACGACCTTTGAGATCTTATCGAAGAGTGCTATCTATTCTCCGAACGACGGATCAACAGCCGAGATTCCCAATAGATCAATTTCATAGGTAATTCACCACCAACGCAACACAATCATCCAATCAAGCTCCCATCACCTCGACATAAAGTATCGTCACTGACGTCGCCAGCCATGATCCTTGCGACAGTCTACTTCATATCCAGCTCCATATCCTCCTCTGCCTCAACGGCCGCCTCCATCTCTAGCCTTCCCGTTGGCAGAATTACCTCAGCGGCCACCCCGCGTACTACGATACAGAGCGCGTTATACCGCTTGTCGTCCCATTTAGCGATGTCATGAGGTCCAGGCAACAGCAACTCGACGATGCACTTTGTAGCCCCCTTGCGGCCACCCGGTCCGTCATGGTCACTTAGCTCCTGGTTAAAAGAGACAATTGCTTTGTTTAGATTATCGAGACTCTGCTCCAAGGTCTTCTCGTGTTCATCGAGTCTGTGGATTTCCGCCTTACTAGCTAAGTATGCATTCTCATACTCCGGACCTTGATGTCCTGAAGCTCTTCTCGCCTGAGGGCGATACTGACATATTGTGATTGGACAGCTCATTTTAATCTTGCCAAGCTCACTGCGCAGTCAACACGATGCTCCTCCATCCGGCGTACCTCAGCAAGTCGTCGCATCCATGGTCCATATAAAGACAGAATGGTTATGCACCATGGAGGAGGGGGCTGGCCAATGAATCTTCCTCATCGATTCCGGTTACCAGAGAAGCCTCAATTCCGACTTCAGCACCAGGACACGCAGGAATAACGATCTCGTCGGTGACCATAGGGGCAGGGGCCGGCGAAAGGGGCACTTCAGTCTTAGACAGCCGGCTTCCAGCATACCGTCTTCGCTTTGGATCCTACAATACAAGTCAGTTCAATACTTGACGAGATACGGCGCCTCAGAGAACATACCGGTTCACGCGACTCCTACATCTCAACAGACAGGCGCGATGTCTTCGAATACTAGGTCAATCAACGCAGTTCCGTGTCGTTGATGCCAGCAATCTGCTTCTCCATCCTTGTGGAACGATCTTCTGATATTAGCCATACAGAGAGTGAAGAAGATAATGGCGAGGTAGCGGGAGGATAGAAGAGCTTCAACATCAGCGATACATTGAGAAAAGATCAGAAAGCACTCAGCATACTGCCTACATAGTTACACAAACAACGACGCGAAATGATTACAACGCGCTAACGGCACTACAGCTTGGTCATCGAGAGGAGATGCCGTTTACCGGCTGATTATATGCCGCTCCCTCAATCAATAAAAGACACAATAGCTAACACCAGCATAAGCTACTTCGCCTACCAGCAATATCAGATAGCAAATTATCCTTTAAAGGAGACCGCTTTAAACAACCCGTCGTTAATCATTTTGGTTGTCATCGCCTCTCCGAATCAGACTTCAGCATGCAGCACAGCGGCCTCTAATGCGAATTTCTTTGCTCTGCTTTTATCAGATGTCATTTCACCCTAACAATTCTCATTTCCACAATATATGCTATACCCCCTCACTGTAGCAGGTTCGGTAAGAAGAAGACTACCAGAACCAACTGTCACCAAGGAGTCTATAATTAAATATACAATTGGCGTCTTATATAAAGTTTCGAAGCTGAAATCTAAGGGGTTTTACTGATTAGCTTTAGACCAGGACGGGGCAACGGTGGAGGCCGAGAAATGGCATTTTGCTCACAGCCTGATTCTGTACTTGGGTATGGTGTCTGCCCCTGTTTGAGATTAAGTGATGGCTTGACGTGCCAAGCTAAAGCTGCTTTCTTTTTCTGACCCAGTCGTCTCGTGTTCGGCTCCAGGGGCTCCAGGCATGTTGAGACAGCAGCCATCTGATTATCCAGGCTTTAGTATCGTTTCGGTCGATGCCGATCTGAGATCACGCGTGCGTGATGCAGTCTCTAATTCGCCCGATCGCGAAGACGTGTTGGAGGCGGTCGGTCCTAGAGGGTTGGTGACATCTTGAGCCAGAGGCTTGCGATGACCGTCGCCATGAGTTGCCTGGATATGGGCATCTCCGTGGTATTAATTGATGGTAGGTTCAAGTGTTGCATTCTATCGTTTGGCGACACTTCACAGCACAGAGTGAGCGACATTTCAGTGTAGTACATCTGGAAGACAACTCATGTGCGTTGGATTCCATAATCTATCTACTTCTAGTCTTTAGTCACAATCAATCTTACACCTAGGAAGTCCACAAGCCATCCCACTTCTCGTTCCAAGAACGAAAGACGCGATCAGTGCCGGTGGCACCAAGCTACTTCTCGCCCTTCTCGATGTGCGTCGAAAGACGGCGGTAAACGCCAGCGCAAGCGGCCTTCTACTCTCTCCCAGTCTCCAGATCCTTTCGGGTCGCTTCGTCGTTTTCAGCGTCATCCTCGACACTGCGCATCTTATCTCCGACAGAGGAACTCTCGCCTCGTGGTCCCTCGCCGTGAGGATGATTCTTAAAATAGGCATCCATAATCGAGTCTACGTCGCGTATCATCTCTTGTAGCATAGGAGGGTAGCTCTGATCCTGTAAGCGCTGACCCTTTATGTTTTTGTGTTCTACGCCCGTTTGGATGATCACACAACAGACTTTGGCTATGTTTTTGACTGGATCGTCGCCTGCTGGCCGCTCGTCGATCAACTGCTGGAGGAGCTTGACCATCGGGTTTACTTGGGTGCAGTAGGCATCCGCGGCCATGGCTTGTTGAACTGGATCGGGGTCGGGGGACTCTTTGACAGAAGGCATGGTGTGTCAACCGGAGTGGTGTGACAATCTGGGGCGTTTTATACTTGATGATCTGACTTTTTGTCTCCTGTTAGCGCATGTATATAGTAACTCTCGCCTCGCGTGATGTACATACTGGCAATGGTGCTTCGTAGGTGGCGTTAGAGTTGACCGCTGGGTGGGGAACTTGCAATGGCTGATGCTTGAGAGAAGGAAAAAGTTAAGAAAGAGAGAGGAACGAAGTCTGCCCGGGAACAGAGACTGTCGCCAGTGTCGATACCTGCTATGAACAGTGAGCGAGACGGTGTTGCACAACATGACGGTTGGTCAAGACAAGCCAATCAATAAATGAAGTTGCTTGACTGACAATCGCCTCAGAAATCTCTAGCAAAACGAAGTCCGAAACATTAGCATTGATAAAAGCAGTAGGTTTGTGAATGTCGTTGACTGTTTTATCCGTTGTCTTGCCGGGGGTAGCGGGTGCGGAGCCGGATGGAGCCACCAAGAACGAGATCAGATCTAGACTCCGGGTACCGGGAATCGATCTGTGAGAGGTACAGGGGCATCATCGTCGGTCATTGTCTTCACCACCAGAAACGGTG